GTCACAGACCGAAACAGGCTCCAGGCTCTGAGCTGGCAGTCAGCACAGAACCCGACGCGGGGCTCGAACCCACGAACCGCGAGATCATGACCTAAGCGAAAGTCGGACGCTTAGCCGACTAAGCCACCCAGGCGCCCCTAAAGTCAGAGAGATTTAAATGTATGTTTTCTTCCAGGAGTTTCATAGATTTAGCTCTTACATTTAGGTCTTTGATTCATTTTGAATTAAAAAAAATTTTTTTAATGTTTTATTTCTAGGAGAGAGAGAGAGAGAGACAGCGTGAGCAGGGGAGGGTCAGAGAGAGAGGGAGTCACAGACTGAAACAGGCTCCAGGCTCTGAGCTGGCAGTCAGCACAGAGCCCGACGCAGGGCTCGAACCCACGAACCATGAGATCATGACCTGAGCCGAAGTCGGACGCTTAACCGACTAAGCCAACCAGGCGCCCCTCTTTGATTCATTTTGAATTAATTTTTTGCATATGGTGTGAGGTAGGAGTTCAACTTCATTCTTTGTATATGGATATCTAATTTGCTCCAGGACCATTTGTTGAAAAGTCATATACTATTTGCAGATATCTTATTTATAAACATTTCTCAAAATTAAAAATATACATTTCCTGTATTCCAGGAATCCTATCTCTAATCTGTGGAATACTGATGTGGATATATAAAGACTTATATTCAAAGATATAAATCACAGCATTGTTTTAATTGTAAAATCTTGGATGCAATAATGTGTCTTAAGTGACTAATTGATAGCAAATTGTTATATGTTCATTTGGTGGAACACACTGTGCCTGTTAAATGGAATGAGGTAAAATCATATGTACTGGCTTTAAAAGGTACTATTATATTTTAGAAGCAGCTGGGTGGCTCAGTCGGTTAAGTGTCCAACTCTTGATTTTGGCTCAGATCATGATCTCACGGTTTGTGAGTTAGAGTCCCATGTCTGGGTCTGCACTGACAGTCTGGAGCCTGCTTGGGATTCTCTCTCTCCCTCTCTCACTGAGCCTCCTACCTCTTCCAAAATAAATAAATAAACTAAAAACAATTTTAAAAGATACTATTATATCTTATTGAGTTAAAAATACTTATTGAGTTCTGTTTACCAGGCATAATGCTAAGTGCTTATTCAATAATTTTTTAATAAAAAATATTTAAATGTTTTATTTATTTCTGAGAGAGACAGCAGGGGAGGGTCAGAGAGAGAGGGAGATACAGAATCTGAACCAGGCTCCAGGCTCTGAGCTGGCAGTCAGCACAGAGCCCAACACGGGGCTTGAACCCACAAACCGTGAGATCTAATAGGCAACCGACGGAATTGGAAAAGATAGTTGCAAATGACATATCAGATAAAGGGTTAGTATCCAAAATCTATAAGGAACTCATCAAACTCCACACCCAAAAACAAACAGTCCAGTGAAGAAATGGGCAGAAGATATGAACAGACATTTCTTCAAAGAGGACATCCAGATGGCCAACAGACACATGAAACGATGCTCAGCATCCCTCCTCATCAGGGAAATACAAATCAAAACCACACTGAGATACCACTTCACACTGGTCAGAGTGGCTAAAATGAGCAAATCAGAGGACTCTAGATGCTGGTGAGGATGTGGAGAAAGGGGCACCCTTCTACACTGTTGGTGGGAATGTAAACTGGTGCAGCCCCTCTGGAAAACAGTGTGGAGATTCCTCAAAAAATTAACAATAGAGCTCCCCTATGACCCAGAAGTAGCACTGCTAGGAATTTACCCAAGGGATACAGAAATGCTGATGTATAGGAGTACCTGCACCCCAATGTTCATAGCAGCATTCTCAACAATAGCCAAAACATGGAAAAAGCCTAAGTGTCCATCAACGGACAAATGGATCAAGAAGATGTGGTTTATCCATGCAATGGAATACTACGTGGCAGTGAAAACGAATGAAATCTGGCTATGTGTAGCAACATGGATGGACCTTGAGGGTGTTAAGCTGAGTGAAATAAGTCAGGCAGAGAAGAACGGCTACCATATGTTTGCACGTATAGGAGGATTAAGAGGAACTTAACGGAGAACCGTGGGGGAGAAGAAGGGGGGGAAGTAGTGGGAGGAGAGGGAGAGAGGCAAAGCATGAGAGACTCTTGAATGCTGAGAACAAACTGAGGACTGATGAGGGTGGGGGGGAAGGGATGGTGGGTGATGGGCATGGAGGAGGGCACTTGTGGGGATAAGCACTGGGTGTTATAGGGACAATAAACTATTAAAATTTTTTTAAAAAGAATTAAGTAAATAATTTAAATAAAGACATTTTGATCCTTTAAAAATTTTTTAAAAGCATTTTTAAATGTTTTATTTATTTTTGAGAAAGAGAGACAGCATGAGCAGGGGAGGGTCAGAGAGAGAGGGAGATACAGAATCTGAAGCAGGCTCCAGGCTCTGAGGTAGCTGTCAGCACAGAGCCCAACACGGGGCTTGAACCCAGGAACTGTGAGATCACGACCTGAGCCTAAGTTGGACACTTAACCAACTGAGCCACTCAAGCGCCACTTGAATAATTTTTTAAATATTTACCCATAATAACCCTATGAGATAGCTGTTATTACTATCTTATTTTACAGGTGAAGTAGCTGAAGTTGTGGCATTCAGGCAACTTGCCCAAGGTCATAACTAGCAGATAAGGCAGTATGTAAACGTCTAATTCTAGAGTTTGCAATTTAAGCATTAGTTACAAATTAATATGTATATATATTACTTGGCAGCAAAGGTTTTCATGAGCATAGTGATAATCTGATGGAATAACCGGCAAATTATCCATGGTCATGTTTGAAAGATAGGAAGGAAAGGGGAACAAATATGTATTGAGAATCTCTTATGTATCTTTTATTGTGCTATGGTCCTTCCATAGTCTCATTTAATCCTTATGACCTTGTTTTCAATATATAACTTATATACCTATTTTGTAAACAAAAGACCCTAAGAATCTAAGTGTCAAGTTGCATAGCGAAAGGCAAAGTGAGGGCTTCCAGGTTTAAAGAGCAGCCTAAACAACAGTGTGCAGAGGGTAGAGAATGGAGCAGTTAAATAGCCTGACTAAAGCTGAGGGTTCATTTGGGAAGAGAAGAAAGACAAAGTGGGATTAGTGGTCATACTATGAAGTGTGTTGAATGCAGACAGAGGAACTGAGGTATGTTGACTTTGAGCAGGAGAGTGAAGGATTGGTGAGGATGAGAATGTAGGTGGGAAATCCATCATTTTATACACTTCTTCATTGCTTAACTTTGTTATAACTGCATGTTATTTTCATAAGTAAAATTACTGAGAAAAGTATTTAACAAACATTTGAGTTCTTACTCTATACTAGGTATCATAGTGTTGTTGATTCCTGGTCATACAAAGACCATCAGGAACATACCTGTGGTCAAACAAGAATAAGTTTATTGGCTTTTTGCAGCAAGGGAGAAAATATGCCCCATGAGGAACATGGGACATCCAATAGGAAGAGGCTAGAAGGGATTTATTATAGAATTTGGATGTGTGTTAATTGACTTTGGGGAGAATTTAATGAAATAGACGTTTTCTCTGGATGCTGTCAGAAAGTGGAAGAAAGTTCTATGATTAGGTATCTTTTTTTTTAAATTAAATTAAAAAAATTTTTAAGTCTTTATTTTTGAGAGAAAGAGAAACACAGAATGTGAGCAGAGGGAAAGCAGAGAGGGAGACACAGAATCTGAAGCAGGCTCCAGGCTCCAAGCTGTCAGCACAGAGCCCAATGTGGGGCTCAAACTCATAGACTACGAGATCATAACATGAGCTGAAGTCAGACGCTTAACTAACTGAGCCACGCAGGCACCCCTACCTATCTTAATTTTTATCTAGAAGGCAACTGGGCTAAAGCTTTACTAGGTAAAGAGGCAGCAGTCACTCCTATTAGCCTAAAGAGGGGGGTGTCATTTTTTATAATTGGGACTGTGTTTGTGATTTTGTCTGTGCTCAGACGTGATTATGGAGTGGTCTTGTTTTGTCTTGATCCATCATGTTCACATAGTAGCCTGGTCTGAGAGTGGCATTCTGTGGAATTGTTTATGTTCAACAGGTTAATACAGCATGGCCTGGCTGACCGTGCTAAGCTAGCTTCTGGCAGCACGAAGCCTTGAATGATAATTGCCAGGCCATTTCAGTGGTTCCAGGGGCTGCTTTCCTCTCTGTCACAATGTGTTCAGGATCCACAAAGGAAAAAGGCAATTCCTGTCCTCAAGGAGCTTTCTCAGGGGGAAGTACATGTAAATAAATAAATTATGCCACAACATGGTACATGTAATAATAGAACTGTTAAAAGCAACTCCAACAAATTATATTTTAACTTGTATCTAAGTTTCATTTCAAATGTACCACAAAGGAACTATATCTCTAAGAAAATTTGTTGGAAGAGTTCCTATTGGTCAAGAGAATTTTCCCCCTCTCTTTTAATATAGAGAAACTGTGTTTATTTTATTTTAACTAAAAAATTTTTAAATGTTTATCTTAGAGACAGAGCATGAACGAGGAAGGGGTGAAAGAGAGACGGAGACACAGAATCTGAAGCAGACTCCAGGCTCTGAGCTGACAGAGCCTTTGAAGCGGGGCTCGAACTCATGAACTGTGAGATCATAACCTGAGCTGAAGTTGGACGCTTAACCAACTGAGCATGCTTCCAGGGAAAAAGAAAAGCTTTTAATTACTCAGAGTAAGAACTAAAAGATTATTAAAAATACTTTTACCTCTCCAACTTATTCTTTTTTTTAATGTTTTTTATTTATTTTTGGGAGTCAGAGACAGCGTGAGCAGGGGAGGGTCAGAGAGAGAGGGACCGGCTCCAGGCTCTGAACTGGCTGTCAGCACAGAGCCCGATGCAGGGCTCAAACTCATGAACCGTGAGATCATGACCTGAGCCAAAATTGGATGCTTAACTGACTGAGCCACCCAGGCGCCCCTCCAACTTATTCTTTATTGGAACTTGGAAGTATGGACATCTTTGGCTTAAGAATTTTGACTAATTCTCATTCTAGATAGGATATTTCTCAGGGCAAGTTTCATGTCCTTATTACGAAGACTATAGATCAGAGGATTAAAGAGAGGAGTCATTATTGAATATACCAGTGTCAGGATCTTCTGCATCAAAGTTGGGACGCCATATGTAGGACTCACATACATCACCATGACTGTCCCATAAAAAAGAGACACCACAACTAAATGAGAACCACAGGTAGAAAAGGCCTTTTTCCGGCCAGCTGCAGAAGGGACCTGAAAGACGGCTCTGAGCAACAAGGTATAGGATCGAAGAATGTACATAATAGTAAAAAAGAGAACAAGGGAGCTCTGAGTATAGAAAATAAATTCAGTAATGGGGGCTGGAGCACAAGACAGAGACATTAGTGGGTCCATGTCACACAGGAAGTGATCAATGATATTGGATCCACAGAAGGGGAGTTGGGAGATGAAGAAAATGGGGATTGGGTAGCCAAGGAATCCAGTAAGCCAGCAGAGAGACACCAGAATTCTACAGAGTTTCCCAGTCATAATGGTGGGGTAGTGCAGTGGGTGGCAGATGGCCAGGTACCGATCATAAGCCATTACTGCTAAGAAGAGACATTCAGTTGTGCCCAGGGAAAAGAAGAAGTAGAACTGGAGGAAGCAGCCAGAAAATGAGATGGCCTTGGTTTTGGAGAGAATGTTGGCTAGCATGTTAGGAACAGTGGAGGAAGAGTAACAGATCTCAAGGAAGGCAAAGTTTCCCAGCAGAAAGTACATTGGGGTATGCAGTCGTGGGTCCCATCTTACTGCACAGATAATGGCTCCATTCCCCAGCAGGATCAAGACATAAGCCACCAAAAAGAGTGAGAAGAGGAAAACCTGTATCTCCCAGCAACCAGGGAATCCCAGGAGAACAAACTCAGTCACAGTGTGAATGTGTGTTGCTGACCTGTTCATGGGTCTTAAACCTATGAAGAAGAAAAACATGAGGATAACACAAGTTTCTTTGCTTTCTACATATCTCAAGAACTTAAGTGAGAAGAGAAATTAAGCTCTACAGGAAAATATGAGATATTTTGAGACCAAGTGGGAATAAATCTCACCTTATTTTGAATTGATTGTGCTTCTAAATCTTATTTCTTTTGTTAGAATCCAATGCAGCAAGAATTTTCCACATTAGTGGTACAATGTGAAAAGTTTCTTTCTTTTTTGATTTCTTTGAGGCTTAAGAAGACCTTTTATAATTTTGGGTTTCTTTCCTAAAGTTGATTATGGATCTTCAATGCACGATCTCATCCATTTTCTTTTATTCAGCTTACCTTGTTAAAAAAAAAAAAAAAAAAAAGACAAATTTTAAGGACAGCTGGTGTGAGATTGGGTTAAAACTTTAGCAACAGAACAACATTAGTTGGCTTACTCTTGGAGTTAAAATTTATTCCAGGACATTGGCTTTTCATAGTCTAATGAACTGAATTAATTGTCACATACATCACTACACTCAAGATTCAAGGCTGTTTTTAAATTTTCCTTTAAGAATTTCCTATAAGATTTTCTTTTAAATGTTTTTTTTTTTTAATTTATTTTTGAGTGATAGAGTGCAAGCAGGACAGGGGCAAAGAAAGAGGGGATAGAGGGTCCAAAGTGGGCTGTGCACTAATAGCAGTGAGCCTCATGTGGGGGCTGCTCAAACCCACAAACCATGAGATCATGACCTGAGCTGAAGTCGGATGCTCAACTGTCTGAGCCACCCAGGAACCCATAAAGATTTTCTTTTAAAATACCACAATAGTTCAGGGGCGCCTGGGTGGCTTAGTCGGTTAAGCGTCTGACTTTCGCTTAGGTCATGATCTCGCGGTTCGTGGGTTCGAGCCCCGCGTCGGGCTCTGTGCTGACTGCCAGCTCAGAGCCTGGAGCCTGTTTCAGTCTGTAACTTCCTCTCTCTCTGACCCTCCCCTGCTCACGCTGTCTCTCTCTCTCTCTCTCCTAGAAATAAATAAAAACATTTAAAAAAAAATACCACAATAGTTCAGTGACACCTTAAAAAACATACAAAAGACAAACCATATCAAATATCTTTGCTCTAAAGAGTGAGAATATTTTCAGTTATTTCAATTTTCAAGTGTTTATTTTCATGTTTTCACACATACTATAAAAAAATGAATTGCTTTACTTTTCGTATTCAGATCCTACCTAGTTGAAATAAAGAAAATTATGTTTTCAGCACAAAGTTTTAGTTCATTTAGTAAATAATTTTGGATGATAAAAACAAAGGAATCTTATATTGAATGGGGTTTATCTGCAGTTTTATTTAGTAGAATTAATCATGTTTTCTGAAAGGGAGAGGTCATTTTCAAATATTTGCATAGGCATATACTTTTCAACAGTATTTAAGAATTTAACAAAAAAGTACTGATTTTTGTGTTTAAACAACAGAGTAATCTTAATATTAAAAAGCACTAAGAATCTTAAAAATGGTAGTTTCAATATTGAGTTTTCTTGTTAAACTTGTCAGACTGAGCGCCTTGTCTGTTGGAGGTCACTAGTTATAACTGTCAGGAATGGAAGATAAAGAGATTTGAAAGGAACGTAGAACAGAAATTTGAAAGGCAAATAAGAACAGAGAAGATCTGCACTTCACTATCACTAGTCCCCTCTTGGTGGTTTTTAAAGGAGCCTAAAATGGAGGTTTGAGCACCAAGTCCTAAAGTTGGCCTGTTTTCCAATCAATGTTGAACTCAAAAGCCATTTGTTTACCAACTTCACTGAAGAAGGTGCTAAATGGATAATTCCCAGACTGTTATTTATGAAGCATAAATAAATCAGTTTCCATGCTACAGGCCAGGAACTAAGTCCAGGCTGACAGATTCAAACTAGTAATCAGTATCTTGAGATCTGTGCTTCCTATGATTCTTTCTGAAAAAATGGACCATGACATGCTTTCTTAATGTGAATAACATTTCAGGACACTCTCCATTACAATCAACAACTTCACACCTAATTTCATTTTTTTTTCTGCAACTACAGCCTGTAAAATTTATTAGAAAAAACATTATTTTTGCTATAGCCTTTGGTGAAAGTGTTGGTAAGTAATAGGATAATCCAAGGGTAGAGAACTTAATGGAAAAGCCAGAGTACTCAATTTTTATTTTAACCATTGATAAAATAAACTGATTCCATAAAATTATGCATAACTCCACCCTCTAAACCCTCCAAAATTAGTAGGGTTGAGAAATTGCTGGAAATAGGTAGTGTATTAGAATGGAGTCTCCACCATTTTATACCATTAAAAAATGTAATTTTCACGTTTTTGGCATTCATAAATCATTATATGAGCTACAATCCTAGCTTTTCTATACTCTCCTTTCTAATACAAGAAATCAGCCAACTAACAACCAATCAACTCACCATTCTTGGATGGCCATCTCAAGAACAATAGTTTGATTAAACAACTTGCTTCCAAATGTCCCTCGCTTGATATACTGTCTTCTCAGTTCGTGGTAGAGAAGAATACAACACCGGTCTACTCCTGGAAAGTGAGATTTTTTTTCAGAAAGATCAACCTTAATAATAAAAAAATATTGGGGAAAAATGGTCCAGATTATTTACTTTAATTGTTCATTTTACAGATAAGCTTCACAGAGGCTGCATGACTTTTTACCCAATGAATGTGTCATGCATCCACACATGGAATGTTCACACTGTACTGCTATAAAGGAAAAATGACTAATCAGTTTTCCAAGGTAAAAGGCAGTCTGTAGTATATCACAACAGTGGTTGTAATATGGACAATTAGTCCCTTTCTCTTACATACAATGATGGATTTCTTGGCTGAGCTTGGAAAGAGCGATGGACACAGTGGAGTTGAACATATAGGCACCTTCTCCTCACTGGCTTTGAAGAGGAAAACTGCAGGTGACGGCTTTATATGTGGTTCCCTGGACTTCCTTAATTTCTGGAGGCTCTAGAAGCTTGTTCTCTCTGAGTTTACTGAGATAACTTAACGTGTAAAGGAGTGTTTAATCTCAGGGATTAATCCCTTTTGGGATTATTCTAAAACTTGATGTCACTCCCAAGTGACTTCCTCATGTTTCCCCTGGAGTGTATTCTCTTTCCAACCTTTGAGGCTCATCCAGGTTTTGGTAGATTAGTTCCTAGTAGATTAGCTCTGTTATGAAACAGAGAATTCAGGGGAAGTACTGAGTGAGTTTCAGGAGGCTTTCTATTGCAGAGATTGCATTTCATTAAAGAATCACCCTTAGTGGAGATAAGTGCAATAAGTGGAAGTTTTGCCCATGATTTGAATTCTGAAACTGAGACATATTTGTGACTAACTTTAAAGTTAAATCCACTACATTTTTCTGTAGTCTTTCACTGTAATGACCAGGTGGTCGATACCAGGTAGGAACTGCCTGTGTTTTTGAAATTCAAGATGACAGAAGCCATTTAATTGACTAATCTAGTCAAATTGTCAGTTTTCATTCTGATTTCACTTTCTAGTGGGAATATTGAAATCGCTGCAAACACAAGAAGAAATTTTTTTATCACTTAGTCTTTTGTGTCTTCTAAAAAATTTGGGTTTCTTCTGAGAGTCCTCTCTAACCACTTCTTTAAAATATGATTACATGGGGCACCTGGGTAGCTCAGTTGGTTAAGTGTCCAACTTTGGCTCAGGTCATGATCTCATGGTATGTGGATTCGAGCCCCTTGTCAGGCTCTGTGTTGACAGCTAGCTCAGAGTCTGGAGCTTGTTTCAGATTCTGTGTTTCCCCCTCTCTCTGACCCTCCCCTGCTCATGCTGTGTCTCTCTCTCAGAAATAAATAAAACAATAAAATTTTTTTTTAATTAGAAAAAAAATAGCATATGATTCCTGGGAAAAGGTGACAGTGATGGCTAATGGGAAAATCTTGGGGTAGCTTGTAAGTGAACTTAATATTCATTGACACTCTACGCCATTTCCCCATTGAGTATTCTTGGTTCCTTTGTTAAATATAGTTGTCTGTAGTTGTAAGAGTTTATTTCTTGGCTCTTGATTCTGTTCTGTTCATTACTGTGTCTATTTTTGTATCAATACCATACTGTTTTCTTTATTACAACAGCTTTGTAGTATAGCTTGAAATCAGAAAGTGTGATGCCTCCAGTTTTGTTCTTTCTTAGGATTGCTTTCCATATTCAGGATCTTTTGTGGTTCCATACAAATTTTAGGGTTTTTTTTTTTTTTTCCTATTTCTGTGAAAAAATACCATTGGAATTTTGATAGGGATTGCATGGTCTTTTCTCATTTTCTTTCATCAAAGTCTCATAGTTTTCAGTGTACAGATCTTTTACATCAATGGTTAGATTTGTTCTTAAGTATTGTTTTTGATGCTATCGTAAATGGGATTGTTTTCTTTATTTCTTTTTCAGATATGTCATAGTGTATATAAACACAACTGATTTCTGTATGTTGATATTTTTTATCCTGCAACTTTACTCAATTTATTGATCTTATAGTTTGGTGGAGTCTAGGATTTCCTATATAAATGATCATGTAATCTGCAAAAACAACTTGCCCTCTTTGCTGGTTTGGAATTATTTTATTTCTTTTTCTTGACTGATGCTCTGACTAGGACTTCCAGGACTATGTTGAATAGAAATGGTAAGCATGGACACCATTGCTTGTTACTAATCTTAGCAGAAAAGATTTTGACCTTTTACCATTAAGTATGATGTTTGCTGTGGGCTTGTAATATATGGCTTTTATTATGTTGAGGTATGGTTCTTCTATACCCACATTTTTAAGAGTTTTTTTTCCTTTCATAGTTTATTGTCAAATTGGTTTCCATTTAACACCCAATGCTCATCCCAACAAGTACCCTCCTCCAGGCCCATCACCCACCTTTCCCTCCTCCCCACCCATCAGCCTTCAGTTTGTTCTCGGCATTCAAGAGTCTCTCATGGTTTGCCTCCCTCCCTCTCCCTAACTATTTTGCCCCTTCTACCCCATGGT